CAGGGATGCTGCTCTGGAAGGCAGGGATGGTGCTCTGGAAGGCAGGGATGCTGCTCTGGAAGGCAGGGATGGTGCTCTGGAAGGCAGGGATGCTGCTCTGGAAGGCAGGGATGCTGCTCTGGAAGGCAGGGATGCTGCTCTGAGGCAGGAATGCTGCTCTGAGCAGGAATTCTGCTCTGAGCAGGAATTCTGCTGCTGTCTCTGCCCTCCCGAGGGGCTGGAACAGACACCAAGCCTGGAGTTCTTCTCTGGGTCCCTCCCGTGGTGCTCCTGGGGTTTCTGTTTGTGTTTTTAAGGCAGCGTGGATGGGATGTTGTGCTGAACTTCCCCTGGAGACTGATCTGTGCCCTCAGGGATGAGGAGCAAGCTCTTGTAAGGGTGTTGGAGCTGCTGTCACTGCAGGGTGTTCCCCTCCTCACCAGTCAGTGCAGCAGACTGGTTTGTGCTCCCACCAGCTGTTAAATTCACTCCACTGCAGCCCTGACTTGGCTGTTCCTTGTCCAGAACATCTCCCACATCCTCCCGACAGAACGAGGAGCTCTCAGGGCCGGGAGCTCTCAGCTCTTGCTGCATGAGGTGGCACCAGCTGGGTGCTCCAGCCAGCATTTAATGTTCTCATGAGGTGCAGGGACCGCCCGTGCTCGGCTTCTCAGCACTCAGAGCAGGGCCAGAGGCCGTGTTTGGACTCCAGTCCAGGAGCAGCTGGTCCAGTCCCATCTGGAGGATGTGTGGGGGGTCTGTGTGTGTCATTTTCCATTTCCTCTGGTGGTGACAGTGTCTGGAACACGGGGTCAGGAGAGCTGATGCTCCACGGAGTGCAGCTCTGCCCATGCTGGCCCTGACTTGCATCCCTGCCTTGTTGTGTCTCAGGAGCAGGGATGGTGGTGGACTGGGAACAAGAAACCGGGCTCCTGATGACCTCAGGAGACGTGAGGATCATCCGGATCTGGGACACGGATCGGGAAATGAAAGTCCAGGTAACGCTTGTCCACAGCACCTTCTCCCTGCTGGAGCCCATCCCATGGGCCCAGTGCCCCAAAGCACCTGGGGCTGCTCTGTGAGGGGCTGCCAGCTCCTGGAGCTCCTGCTTCCCTGATTCCCTGCTTCCCTGCTTCCCTGATTCCCTGATTCCCTGATTCCCTGATTCCCTCCCTGATTCCCTGCTTCCCTGATTCCCTGCTTCCCTGCTTCCCTGATTCCCTGCTTCCCTGATTCCCTGCTTCCCTGCCCCAGGGCCCATTCCGAGCTCAATAAAACCACACAGACACTCTGGGAGTGTCAGGGCTCTCCTGGACGCTGCTGTGCTGTTCTGGGTGGGCAGCAAGGTGTGGGGAAGCTGAGGCTGCGGAATCCAGAGGCCACACCGGGATGCAGAGGGATGCACTGGGATACAGGGACAGCACTGGGATGCAGGGAC